CAGCTGTGGCAGCCGCACAATAGGCTGTGTCAACTGTGCAGAGTGTGTGAGCAGCCGAGGAGCTGCTCTCCAGGCTTCAGGCGCAAAGAGCTGCATGCCACCGAAAGCGCTGTCGAGGTTCGCCGAGCGCGGCGCAGGTTGGAGGACACCGTCACCGACGAGCGCGTTGGAGTATTCACTCCGGACAAAGACGGGCACACAGCGGACGGTGCGGGGCGTGTGCCCGTCATAGCGGCGAGGCGCGGGACCGTCTGTGGCGAAGTGGGTCGCGTCCTCCGATTTCCTCAACTCACGGTCCGCTCCCTCTAAGTCATATGCGTTTTCCCGCGGGACCGGGCCGGGTGGGTTCCGATTCGTTTCCGATTCGTTTTCCAGTTCCCCCTCCCTGGCGAAATTCTTGCCCCCTCTCCTTTCTACATACATAGAGTGCAAGTGGTCTCAGCCCCCACAGTACCGTGTCGCCTTTCTGGCTGTTTCATGGAGCGTGCCCCAGCTAGCGGTGGAGCGTTGACGTACTTTTCGGCGTGAACAAAGACTTGCGGCGACGCGCCCGCCGTCGATCGCCGGGCTGCGTGGCCAGACTCCTCCGAGGAGAGCGAGGCGGAGGAGAGCGAGGCGGGGGATAGCGAGGCGGAGACCGAGGCGGATGGCGAGGAGGCGAGCAGCGAGGAGGTGATCCGGACTCCCCCTCCCCCCCCTCTCGTACGCCGTCACCCCACCGTCCCCGCCGCACAGGAGGACGATGACGAGTACCAGTACACGGTCGAGCTGGTCCTCGCCAAGAGGGAGGCTCGCGTGGCGCGCAAGGGCATCGTTGTGCAATATGCAGTCAAGTGGGACGAGTGGGACCAAACTCCGGACATGACGTGGGAGCCGCCCGAGAACCTGTCCAGCGCGAAGGAGGAGGTGGTCAAGTTTGAGCGGCGGGTGGCGGCGATGCCTTCTCGCGACGCCTTCTCCGGGCCAACAGCTTCGCCTGCGTGCTGCTATGCGACATGCTGCAGTGGCGGACCGCGCCGATGTCGAGACCAGCCAGTGCTTCGTGTGCGCAAAGATGGTGCACCCGGCCTGCGCGACGCAGCACCTCTTCCTCGAGCCCTTCATCCAGAAGCTCGACTCCGCCAACATCTGCTTTGATTGCGCGCTTCTGGTTGCCATGGTGGAGAAGCGGACGCCGTTTGGCATCGCTGGTGCGCGACTGATGTTCGAGCCGTACTACCTCCAACTGCGCGGCGTTGCCGCGCTCACCGAGCCCTCGCCGTTCGCCCTCGGCGCCTTCATCGCCACCGGCTCGCTCAAGCTTTTAGAGGCCGCGACTACCACCGCGCGGTCGGCCACAGCCGGCGCCA